CCTCTACCATAAATGTCTGAATTTGAATTAGTCTTCAGATTTCTCGTCAATATTTAATTTCTTCTTACATTTCTAAGCCATCAAAATAAATTTTAATAATTAATAATAATTCACAATCATTAAATCGTAAGGACAAGTTGATTAAGTTTTCTCGTTAGAATTAGGATCAAATTTTGATTGGATATTTAAACATTCGTTGAAAATCGTTGTTTCTTCTTCCACCTTTTCCTTTTTATACTTTCTTTATGTGTAGTTTCCTTTGACAAAATGTTAACGCTAAAATTCGTTCGCTTTTATATTCCTTTAACTCGTATCTTCCAAGCTGTGCTTTTATATGCGATTTAGTATGAATGTGTTGGTTAGCATGTTTTCACATATACACACGAAAACAAAATTTATGAGAGAAACTATTTGGAAAAGGTATTATCAAGATTCGAGGAAATATACACCCATTTGATATTTTCTATGGTCATATGTAAATAATACATATATATATATGTATACAGTAGAAAATAATACCATAATGTATTCGTGATTTTCTATTTATGTATGTAATCGATTTACAATGTTGCTACGTGCTGCCTTGTATGAAACTAAATGTTTAATGTCTGCGCATTAATATACCGCATAATAATATATTGCATATCGACGTAATACTACAGTACATGAATGTGTATGTATATTATATCATTAATCATCATATATGTATGTGTGTACACGTAATTTCTACTTTTCATATATGCCACAGGCATTATTTCAATATATATATATATATAATATATACAAGGCATGTTTATTATAACAAGCTGCATATGTTTCTAAATGAAAGTTGAACAAAAAAAAACACACACATATATACAAAATAAAATAAAATGAAATAGAACGTATGAAATTAATTGGATTGATATTTTTTGTTCATTTCAGCAGTTCGATCAACGTAATGCACAACAAGCAGGAAAACCTTACATGTCTCAGTGAGTATTTTAAACAAAATTAAAAAAATTGTATCAAAAAATGTATATATATATATATACATTTTTATTACAAAAGATAAATAAATATATTTAATCAATGATTTATAATAATCATCATTACAGTCAACTTTAATTTGATATTTCAATGAATTAATAATTAACAACAATTCACATTGTCAATCACGTAAAATGAAAAAAAACAAGTGTAGATAATACATTTTCTGATATTTTTATTATATAACAAACAAACGTATATGAAAATATTTTAATGTTTATTATTGTTGTTATTATTTTGTAAAGTGCTTTTAAGGAATCAGGATACGAAAGTGATTCAACATTGGTATTTCGACGACGAGAGGATATCAGTCCACTCAGTCTCTTAGAACAAAGATTGGCTTACAAAAGTGTGCAAAGTGGTGGTGACGTGCCATTACATGGTCTTCGTAAACCAGCCCCAGAACGACCAAAGGGTGAGTTACCACACATATCAAAAATATTCAATTAGCTGATTCTGATTTTTTTTCTTTTGTTTTATTATATTTTAAATGAATGTGTTATGTGTATTTGAAACAACGAAGCTCATTTCATTTCTCTGTGTAATTTGGCATGCTGGCATTTTGTACTATTATTATTATTATTATTATTACAACATGCATTATATTTTTATTTGGTCTTGCTATTGCTAGAGCGTTAATGTTTGCTAAATATTTTCAATCGTTTAATTGCATTGAATGCATGTGTTGTTCATCCTAGGTGAACATTTTCAACTCAGAAAACCATTGACATTCATTTTTAAATATAAAAATATAAGAATATAAGTGATACCCCCCTCCCCCATTTGCAAATTTTCAAAATTCATATTTGAAAGCATGATAAAAATCAAAACGTATATTACAATCATTCGAGTCTCAGTTATCAGCATGATTTACATTTTTTTTTTTTGGTTTCCAGCATGTCGCTAAAAAATGATTTAGCTTAGTACGCATACTTTTGATCTCGTTATATCTTTTGTTATTTTTTATTTTGTTTGTATATCTCATTTTTTATATTACGCTGTAAGAAATAATAAAAAAATTAAAATATATATATATATAGTCACACACAGCACCGCTATATTACGCAAAATGTATTTATCGATATTGGTGTGTTACACACTTTTCAATTCTTCGAGTGCTAAATACTTTTATCTAAAAAAATATTTATGTAGAAACAGAATAATTTATTATTAATCAGAATTGAATAATAAATTATATTTAATAATTTGTATTCTTAATATATAAAATATTAAATTAATATTAATTTTAAATTCTGAATTAGTTTTGAATTAATTATTATATAAATATGAAATTATTTGACACTCAAAGGATTAAATCTCTTATTTCATTTTTATTTTTCTTATAACTATATCAATCTAATCTATTTCTATCTATTTCTATCTCTTTATTTTTTAATACGCACATAAGGAAATATTAAAAAAAAAAAAAAGGAGAAGAGAGGATTTTCCAATTTTCACATTTTGGCACGCTAAATGATGTCGAACAAAAAAAAAACAAAAACAAAGCTTGCATATCAATGAAGAACTTTTTTTTCTCACAAACTTCTGGTGAACGGTGATAAAAAATGGCTTTTTGGATAAGTATATAAGGGGCACCCTATAGAAAAAGAACAAAAGGTAATTAAAAAAAAAAAAACAAACCAAACAAAGATCGAAACTTTGTCCACAGACGATTCGGAGATTGAATATTTTCCAATTTCACCAACCTTGACAAGGATTCGTGTACATCGTAAGAATCACAGGACATCATTGGGAATCAAAGGATCTTCCTCGTCGATATTTTTTTCCGAATACAAACGATCGTCACCGTCATTGGGTTCGACGATCATTCATAATCCGAACATGAAAAGAGGAATTTCCAAATATCGATCGAGTTGTTCCTCTACTTCTGTTAAAAACACTGATAACCAATCGGAATCAAGATCGAATTATTCACAATTATTAGGGAATACTTTTTCAAGACCACCTTCCCCACCTAGAAGAAAATCATCGAGGAACAACGAAACGTTGAAAAATTATTACAAAAACGTTACGATTGAGAATAATGATAATCATCAATCGTCTAATTCAAGACACGCACAGTGTTTCACACCAGAAAGGGTTTCCGATATTCGTATTTTGAGAGAAAGATTGTGTAATAATTTGGAAAAACATCGACAATCGCGTGAACGTCAAAGTTCACAAATCTTAAAAGTTCCATCATCATCATCATCATCATCAAATCCAATTTCTAACAGAGGATCGAAAATTTCGAAAACCAATTTTCATAAAAGTATTCGTACCAATTATCCTCGTAGTTTGTCGGAAAGTAACGCAACGAGAAAGGGACTTTCATTGGATAAAATTAAAAATCATTCATCGTCAATTAAATCCGAACTGTCGAAGAAAAAACCAACAGGTGTTGGAACATCGACAGATTCGAAAGAAATAGAAGAACCATCATCGTCATCGTCACAGGTTTTTAAAAAGGATAATCCAAGAAGTCGTCTTACCAAAAAGGAACAGGAAGAATCTTGTAAAAGATTGAGCAGATCTTATGCCGACATTTCATCGTCATCTCTCAAACCTAAAGATATTAAAAATACAAAAATTCAACCATCGGAAAGATTTGTGCCGAGTTCCACAACATTGTATTCAACTCATACGATAACTGATAAGGAAAAAGGTACAATAGATAAAGCTTTAAAGGTTGTATTAGCTATATCGTCAAAGGGTCAAGATTCTTGTCGAAAAAGTGAATCACAATTATCTAAAAATAGTTCATCTACTCGCAAATCAACGACACCTGTTCAAATTTCAAAATCAAAGATTAGAAAAAATCATCCCATAACTGTCGGTTCATCTATCTCGTCTATGGAAATTATTGATAATAATAATAAAAAGAAAAGAACCAAAGAGAAATCTCGAGTGATCGTTAAATCATCTGATAATAATAATAGTAAAGAAGAAATTATTACAAACAAGGATATTTCTAAAATTGATAATAAAAAGAAATTACGAAAGGATAAAGAAATTTCAAGAATTAAAGGTAACGTTGGTACGATTAACAAAAGGATGGATAAAAAAGGTAAAAATATAATTGACAAATGTAAAATAATCAAACGAATGGACGATAATAATTCTAGTGTACATAGTTTAACTATGACTGAGATAAAAAAGCATCAGGATAATAGTGAAACACAATTTTTTCAACATTTATTATTGAGAAATGTATCATCATCTCCTACGGTATCATCGCAAATTGATAAGAAAAAATCATTCGTTTACGAACGTACGAAAATGCTTGAAAATAATGAAAGAAGAACGAGTAAATCTGAACCTTCATTAAAATCACTGAGCTTTTATTTGTCACAGAAGAGACCAGTTTCCAACTCAAGATTTAAAAATTTCGATCGAGACAGTTTATCATCGAGAAGTTCGAGTCCATGTGGTGTCAGTTGGGCAGGTCGTTCTATTTTTCAAAAAGTCATGAAATTTGACAGTCTATTACGCGTTGACGATGAATTTGGTTCTTCAACGACACTGCAACGTGGTCGTAGTCCAGATTTTATTCGAGACGGTAACATCAAAGAAAGAAGTTTGAGTGAACCACCGTTGAAAGTGCATATGGAAAAATCGAAAGATGAATTAACAACAAGGTCACGAACATCGACACCATCACCTATCAGACCACCAACACCTCGTCGTAGTTTGATTGTCAAAGATAATCGTGATAGTTTGATGAAAAAAAAGTTTCGTGCAAGAAGTGCAGGTGAAGCTGACGATTTGAGAACAAAATTATCTTCCATGGGTTCGAGTAATTCCATTGCTAAAAGTATTGGTTCATTGTGTCCATCGTCAACCATTGATCGCGATGATTATCAACAATACGTTCTCGAATTATTGCATTACAAGAGAACCAGAGGTGACAAGTACAAAGCTTTGTACGATTTTTATTCCAGTTTGGAAAGAATGGGACAACTTGAAAGAAGAACCACTTCGTCATCATCCGTAGATCTTAGACCTAGAATGAAGAACGAAGAGATCATAGATTACGACAGATGGAAGGAGATCAGATCGAAGGAAAAAGCTCAATGCGAACTTAATTCACTTTACGGCAAGTTGAAAGCCGTACAAAAAGACAATGATTTTCTATTCAGTACCAAAGACATTGATAAATTTAAATGGCGTGGTGATTGTGGTCTCAGATGTAAAGAACGTTCGGTGGAAAATATTTTGAAGTATTTTGAAAAATTAGAAAACGAGGAAACCCCATTGGTTTCATCAAAGAGACGAGAAATAGCATCGAAAAAGGACGTTTACAAACCTTTATGGCGTGGTAATTCGGTGGTCAATGTAGCTAACACCATGCAGAAGAAAGCAAATGAAAATAAACGTGAGTTTGATCAAATAAATACGGAACATCACAGAACGTCTTGGCAAAAGGATCTTGGTTGTAGTAAAAAATTTTGGAGTAGTTTAACGATCGAACAAGTGACAGCTTTGAAGAATCAATTGAATGATATTTATGGTAGTGAAGAAACAAAGTCACGAATGTCTAGGCGTGATCAAGCAAACATCGTGGAACATTTAGCTAACAAGAAAGATGACAAATGTGAGATGATTTCCTCCAAATATGAAATAGTTGTAGATGATTTTCAAGAAGATGGTAAAGGTTTACACGTTAGGTGTCATTCTATGATAACACCTGACGAATCTACGAGTACTTTGAAATATTCCGACAGGGAAAGTTCGAGCTTAAAAAGGAGAGGTTCGATAGGTCGAGGAAAGAGTAGTATCGACAGATCAGAATTCAATAATTTCGTAGGTAATACACTTATGACGGAATTGGAAAAGAAAAGATTGTCTTTGACACTTGGAAAAGAAGTTTTGGATAAAGTAACTCGTAAAAGATCATCCTCGGCACCCATAGCACCTAGGGAAACACGTGGTGCTATTGCAGCGGCCATGGCAAATGCGAAAACTACTTCGAATATGATGAATGTTAGTAGTACGCCAAATTTATCATCGGCACCGAGTGTTACAAACACTTCCCCTAGAACGTGTTACTCCTTGGAAGTATCGTACGAGGATAATTCGAAAAAGGAAAAGAACGATTTTTTATTGGTTCTCGCATCGAACGAGCAAGATATTACGAAAGAGAAAGAAAAAGTAGAAAATGTTTTTGAAGAATGGTCGAGAAAGACAGTGCCATCATCATCATCACCACCACCACCACCACCACCACCTCCAGTATCATCGTCTATCGTTCAAATTGATAATAATAATATTACTAAAAGTAAAATATGTTCAACAACATCGGGAAGTGAAATGGATAGCACGAGTTCTGACACATCGGTTAAAACGGTTATCAAACGAAATACCATCGAGATGGAGGATGTGCCGAAAAAGATCGAATTCTTTGAAAAAATTGATGGGAAACAACATGAATCAAAGAAGACTACGGATAAATCTAAAATTTCAAGATTATCCTCGTCACAGAGTTTCGCTGATTTAAAGGAATTGTTCGGTGAATCGGAAATGGTACGATATTCGAGTAATGTACCAGCGTATAGTAGTACAAAATCAATATCCATGGAAAGAACGTTTGAAGGAAGACCGGAAGATTTGCAAGAATTCGGTGAATTTGAAAAAAGGGAATGTGTTACGTCTGAAGAAGAATTTGGTGATTTTGAAATGAAAATAAAGGATGAAAGTCAAGAAGCGGGGGTCAAAATAAAAGGTAAGGAGAATATTTGTAAGGTAATAGTTGGATCAAAGAAACAGGAAGGAAAAAAAAAGGTGTCATTGTCGAAAGAATCGATCGATCAGGATAATACACCATGGTGTTCGATAGAGAGGAAGAAACGTGGCAAGACCAGCGGACTTCCTGCGGAAGTAGAGGACACGCGACGCTCCTCGCTTGAACGTTGTTTATGGGAGCGTGAACGAGATTCGAGACCAGAAAGCATCAGTCCATGTCGTGGTACGACGACGCGTTCTAACTCATCATCGTGCAGTGTCGAGAGTATATTCCAACGTGGCTCATCGCCCGATCCTGAAAGATATTGGCGTGCATATTTGAAATTGGTTAAAAATGGTACCGTGAAAAAATTGTGTAACAGATTTGAAACAAGTTGTGAGGATTTAAATTCGTCAAAAAAATATCATATCGGTAGTCCTAAAAGATTTCAAAGTGATCCGGAATTAGCTAGGAATGTATTGAAGAAGATTGATCAAAGTAAGACAACCTTGAAACCTCAAGAATATTCGGATGTAAGTTGGTTACGTAAAAGATACGAATCTAGAAGAGGTAGGACAAGACGCAGAGGTGAATCACCACCGATACCACGAGTACCATTGAGATTGGATACTTTATCAATGCCTCATATAGATGTTATCAGTAAAATGGCAGAACTCAAGGATTCATCCGTTTGTACGAACAAAGTAACCAATTCTGTAGCGAGAAAAGCTGAAACCAAAGAATTAGCAGCTAAAAGACCAGTAGAGAAGATCATTAAAAAGTTCGAGGAACCAATGGGAAAAGGAAAAACATCGATCTTAGGAGAAATGTTCACATCCGCACCTGATGTTCGTGAATTGAGGGACATCACGCCTTATCTTGCAGGCAGATGGGTGGCTCATAGGTAGCGATGGTACTTGAAAACTGACTCGCGTAACTCAATACTTGAATGATATTGATCCACGTTAAGGGATGACATCAATTTTCATTTAATTATTTATTTAATATTAATGTTATTAATATATGAATCGTATCTCGTGAATCAAAACGATTAAATCCACTTGTAGAATTTGATATTATTTGACTATCGAAGTACAACACTTGATCGATACATACTTCATTTTATGTATTAACCACATTCGTTATTACTCGTCACATATATTATATATTATTGGCTTGGGGTTCGTTTCGAATTTCGAGACATCGTTGATTGGCCAATTGCAATTTATAGAACGTATCAATTATCTATTGTCTAGTGTTACGTATATATAATCCATATTTATACGAGAAATACATTTTTAGTTAAATTAATATTTGCAACACCGTATATACCATGTAACTGTAAATGGCCATATTACGTGGTGGTGATGGTTTTTTTTTTTATCCAACTAGATCGTGGTAGCAAAAACGTTCGAATAAATTTCTCTTAGTATAAAACCGCAGCTACCATTGTTTTTTTTTTTTTTTTTAATAAATATTGAGTAATAAAACGATTACGTCAATTTTAGTGGAGTTAATCGATTTGTGCAAATAAGTGAGTGTCATTTTCCTTAACGTTTATATTATCATCTAATAAATTTATAATAATATTAAAACACACGCACACATACACACACACACACAAAAGAAAAAACGAAATATTATTTATTGAAAATAAATGAAAAAGAGTTCCATCGCTATTCGCTTGAATTCAGGTATCCAAGTAGAAGAGATAATATGCGTTCGTTGTCATCACCACCCAGCCTTGAAAATCGAAATTCACGTAATAAAGATGAAGTCATTGTTGTTCATTCGTCAAAAGAATCGAATGATTCGAAAGATATGATCTCATGTGAGAAAAGAAAATTGGAGGAACAACAACGTGAAAATTTAACTAAGAAGATAACACGACCATCCGCATCGATTTTAAAACACAAGGATATTTTTGCAAATCAAGAATTTGATCCTAGCAAACATAGACCGAGATTTAGATATCAACCACCACCACCACCACCATCACCGATCGTTAAACGTGAAGCCAAGTTTTGGTTACCATCGTTGCCAACCTACACTGCTCGACCTACCGTCAGTTTCGAAGGTCTGCTGCTTCATTTTGATACTTCAAAACAAATACAAATGTTATTTTTCATTTAGTTTTTTTGTTTAAATTAGTAGTTAGTATGAAAATAATTATTGGCACGTGTATAAATTCGCGAATTAAATTATTTTCATTAAAATTTGTCAGATATTTTCAATGAATTAATTCGAGTGATACAGAACCGCCAATATCGATCAAAAAACAAAAATAAAAGCTCGTGCTGTGTGAATATTATAATAATCATTATCATATTTTCCGGTGTCTCAGCAGTTGTTTCGTTGCTAGCGTTATTAAAGCTAATTATTATTTTCATTATTTTTTTTTATTTTTGTGTCTGCTGAACCAATAGAATACTCGAACGCACCTCCACCGCCACCAAAGTCACAGCATTGCAGAGACGATCGTCAAGGTAATGCCACAATACGCTAATTTATGTTGTTTTTTTATTTTTATTATTATTATTATTATTATTTGAAATAAACCCTTGGCAATTAATTAAACTATAGAAACATCAAAAATTCATCATCGTACTTTATTAAATATGCATGTTTTTGGTCTGATACAAATGAATAATTGGCTAAACGAATTTGTAATAATAACCATAATTATTTATTATTTAATCGTTTAATGATCATTGTTTAATGATGAATGAATTATCAAGCATGATTTAGCAAGAAAAGTTTTTCAAAGCATGCGATATATTGCATCCTTGGGAAAAAAAAAAGAAAAAAAAACACAAAAATCGAATTGTTCTAGGTTTGGTTGTGTTCGTGTAATTAACACGAAACTTTCCTAAAAATAACTCTCGCTCTTTCGACTTCGTAATAGGAACGTTTGTTATAGAATATCTGCTAATAAATTTCTCTAGTTAAATTTCTAACCGCAAATAGTACGCTTAGTTATGGTTAACAATGTTGAGAAAAAAAAAAAAATACAAAGAAAGAGAACAAGATTTTGATAACAAGTGAAATTGGTTGTTGTTTTTTTTTTTTTTTTTTACATCGATTCAATTGGAAACATTTTCCGTATTAATTATTCCAATTAAATAGCAAACGAAAATGAGACCCTAATCAGAGCTATTAAAAGTTAAATAGAACCTTACGAAATAGACCATAATAGTAGTCGTTGTATAAACGATAACAATTTCAGAGAATCCTACTTTGCCTTTTTCGTATTTTCTCTTTAATTTCATTTATGTTAGAAACATAATTGAACGTCGTTTCATTAAAACCCAATGGTGTACAATGGTAGTCTACAGTAGAAATTTCATATTAAATACAACACAACGTTATTAGATTGTAGAAAATCTAGAAGAAACATATGCTACTTTATTAAGGATTTAAATAGATAATGTATAACAGAGGTTTTGCGTTCTTGTTACGTTTTCTCCTAGTCATCGTTGAAAATAATAATAATAATAAATAAAATAAATAAATTGCGATTCGTATCTGCCAAATTACGTTGGTCGATTAAAAATGGTCAAAGAATATAGAGAGGGGGATGGCGGAGGGGGAAAAACACAAGCAAATTTGTTATCAAAGATTAGAAAGTAATCTAAGATAATGATGTTATTTAAATTGTATATAGGATGAGATAACAAAATAAAATCGTACCATTTATAATGAATGGAATTAGAATAAAATTACTTGGAGTGTAGTTTGGGATTATACCAGGTTGTATTTCATGGCAGTATGTCAAAAAGAACGGTACATCGTTTGATTAAGTTATACGGTATACATCATTGACATCGGTAGTACGTGACAATACAAGTCTCGTCGCAATACTTCGTCTTATGGTTTAATAATGTTAAGAGCCTTCTTTTTATGTTCCCGTTATGTAATTAGTACAACCAAATACCACTTTATTACGAGTCGAGTTGAAGTTGACCTTGACTGTAACGAGCGATAAGGAAAAGAAAGTATCATTGAATACGATCAAGTATACGTTGAAACAAATTGTCGAATGTGTCAAATGATTAAATCAAATTTTATTTGTCCTAATTTTCAATACTTAATTAAATTACAGAGAATTGCTGTGAAAAAAGATATCTTTCTCGAAAAAAAAAAAAAAATGCAAAAAGAAAAATCTTAGAAAAGATAGGAACACTTGGTACGTGTTCAATGTAATTGTATTATCTAATCTTGTACAATTATTAAACACCATTGAGTTTATGGTGCAGTTTAGTTGTCTACAGGTCTATAACAGTACGCGAGCTTAAGTCGGTTGTAAAAAAATAAAAAGAAAATATTCAACCTTGATAATACGAAAATAGTAGCTGTGTGATTTAACAGAAATAACTGGGAATGAATGAACAAACGTATAATATTCTGTATTTCAGGGTTTTGTAATGCTATATTTTATTCTGGTAGTTGAAAATAATTTTGACGATATATTTAATTATATAAATTCAATATTCATTTAATTAAAAATTAATATTATTTAAAATAGATTATATCATTTGGTTGTGTAGCTAAAGATAGCACGACGTTTATATTATCATCGTCATAATAATTATCATCATCATCAAAAATACTTCATAGATATATAAATTAGCGATACGCGTATCTGTTTATTTGCCAAAGATTGAAATTAATACTAGCTCATACTATTGTTTAACATATAATAATTTCAACCTTATCGTTTGATTTTTTCTTTTCTTTTTTTTTTTTTTTTCTAAAGTTGAGTTAATTTCATCGTTAGTTTGATTATTAGGTTTAAACGATTTAGTTAGTAGAATCTTTTCCAAAAGCGATTAATATTTAGCGGTCGTGTGAATAACGCTTAAACTTGAACGTTGTGAGTGGGTGGGTGGGTGGGTTGGGGAGAAGAGGGGGTGTGAAAACACGATCGTCGGACCGGCAAAAGGATCAGACGTACCGCGCGCGTCTTACACGTAACACAATCTTGTGTCGGAGTTGAATATTTCGAATATGTGTTTCATTCCGAAATAATAACATTTTAATAAATATTGAAATAAATTTTTGTATTAATTATTTAAGTAAGTTTATAACTATATATTATTCAAATATTCCAGTGTTGTGTTTCAAATTCAATCTAAGTGTTAAATGGTGCATAAGTGTACGAATAATAAAAAAAATTTATTGCAATGCAATATAATAAATTTAATTTAACAATATATTTTATTTAAAATAATGTACTGAAAGATTATTTATTTCTATACTTCAAATTTGTATTTTATCTTTCTTATCTTATTTTTTTGTCAATTATTTCAAGTGCAAACGCACACACGTATTTATATATTCAAGTGTGCGTTGAGTACTGCACAAATGCACGTTGAGTGAAAAATTCATAATTTATTATAATAAAATTAGACAAAATATAGATCGAGCTCGTAGAAATTCTAAAATAAATGACGTTTTTACGAAACTGTAAAAAATGATGAACAATACTTATGCGACATGCGCAGTTAGAATTTAAGTGCAAGATAATCGTTTGAATACGACTTACGGCCAATTGATAATCGCATACTACATTCACGCGTTCTCTTGCGAATGCATTACGTGTTTAGAAGACAACTGGCACACATATTCGCAAATACGGTTATACCTGTACGTGTTACATTTCCGGTCGAATGCTTTTCCTATATAAGAAATAATAATCATTATAATTCTTGTTGTTTTTTTCTTTTCTTTTTTTTTTCTTTTATATAATATACATTTCGTAATTGATTTTATTTTTATGAAAATTTATTCGTAATATCACATTGAAAAAATATTCCTTACATTTCTTAAATAATATTCTCAAAGATTCCATTTATTTTGTTTAATGTTAATTTCAAGCGTGAAAATAATCTGTAAATTTGTTTGACGATGAAAATAAATAATAATCGTCAATTTTTTTGAAATAAAATATATCAGATATAATACCTACTACAGAAACAATTATAAAATAATTGATCATTATTTATGTTTGATTAAAAAAAAAAAAAAAAAAAAGGGAAAAGAGAATTATTAAAGTGCAAGTAGGCAACTTTCTCGCGAGGAAATATAAACAAAGAGAATAGTGCATCTCGTTTGGTGGTTTCATCGTCAGAGATCTTTCTCGATAGATGGAAGGAAGGAGGCCTGCGAACTCGTCTCTTCTTTCCTTCTGATTCAGACAACAACGAACGTCATTGTTGTTTTCGGCTTGTTCTTCTTGTAAATTACAGATTTCCACGGGAAACAACGATCGGTGTGAAAGCGCGAAAGTCTTACACAGAAATTTCATATTGCACTATTTTATGCGTTTCGTTTTGTTAAACATCGAGGACTATATATCAAGCATCAATTTTTTATTATTTTTTTTTTGTAATTATAATTGTATAGATAATTGACTTTCTTCATTTGAATATTTTCTCAATATTTATCTATACATTTATCTTAATTTAAATCATAAAATTCTCGTTGTTCATTTAACGACATTATAATGTAATTAATTAATTAATTAATTAATTAATTATGGTTAAAAGGTGGAGACTGGTGAAACTTATTTCCGGCAGGTATAATTCTGGTGTCGAAGTTTTGCAAAAGTGAAACTTATCCTTGCCATGAGTTAACATTATTATTATTATTATTATTATTATTTTTATTATCATTATAATCGATTCACTTTCAAAACGTAATACTCAACTCGTGTTTAGTGTTACAATTTCACAATACTTTTTCTAACAAGTACGATGTAATATCAATTGCAACGTTAAATCAATTTCTTATTTATTATTATATGGGAATATAAAAGTTTGAAATATTAAACATTATTTCGTAGAAGTAACCATGTATGATTTCATTTCTTGGTCAATTCACAATTGTAGTCTTTGGTTGGTCTCAAGATAAACGATTATGTCAGATAAATTAATCGTTTAATTTTTTTTTTTTTTTTTCTAAGAATTAGATTCACCCACGTATTTAAAAGTATCTCTGAGGAATAGATAATTATCTTTTTGTTTTTTTTTAAATTCGTCTTCGTGCAATTATCTCGAAGAATCACTGAAGAAGAAAGAAACGAAAATCAAGATTTAAATCTAATACGAAATTCAACTTCCGGATAGATAGATAGATAGATAGATAAGCAATCTTTTTAAAAACTCGAGAACCGTAAATATTTCTTTTCCCCATAAATGATTTCTTGTATTTTATTAATAAATTTAATAAATTATTAACTTAATTTCACTTTGTTTGAAGGTATGTATGTAAAAGAAAAGATGATGGCATAAGGTCAGTGATGAGAAAACGAGCTCGATCTATCTCGTCCGATAATTTTGCTTTGTTCGTTTCTTCGGTCTGTTTATTTCAACCATATGAGATTATTTAAAACAAAAACAAAAAAAAAGAACCTAACAGAGATAAGAACTCATCGGTAGAAATTACGATAAATAATCTTTCTTTCTTTTTTAATTATTTTTTTATCAAAGATATCGATTGTTTATCTTGTAATTAATTAAAACGTAGAATAAATTCGATACAATTTTCATCGTCAGAAGCTTCCAAGAAAAAAAAATCATAGACACCATTAAGAGGAATCAAAATTATCATTGAAGAATCGAGTATGAATTTTTGAAGAAACAATAAAAAAAAAAAAACAATGTTAAACGTAATGTTGCCACGTGTAGAGGATCTCGAACGTAGTCCACAATGGACCAGTTTGGCCAGTGACATAAATAATCTCGAAAGGATTTCTTATTCGCGAAATCCTATGTTTTTGATGAGAACCAGACAATATGAGAAACGAACCTGCCACAGGCGTTCCATGCCTGAAATACAAAAGGCAAAGTTGATTTCATTGAATACGTTGGCCGATGAACAAAGGACCAATCTGAACGCAAATGAGGAATTCGTTCATTCACAATCACATTTGCCATACGTCGAATGCAATTGGAAACCAAAAAGTGAATTTGAGAGGATATATTTTTACGGTGATTACAATAAAGATGATTATGGGTTGTTGCCAAATTTAATGAATTCCAATGAATCGATGAACAACGTTTCGTATAACATTGATGATTTAACAAAATCTAAAGTTAATTTGCGATCTTACAATGATCATCGTATTTATAATATTTCTCATGACAACAATGAGGAATATTATTCCGATAGCAGAGAAAGACTTCATGAAATTTTTCAACACAACAGATATCTCAGAAGACAATTTTTTGGAATAACTAATACGGATAATTCCCTTCATAACGTAGAAGATAAGAGCATTATTCGACGTAGTACTTTGGATTCGGTTGAAAGTTTTAACAAGAATCTTAATACGGAAGTTTTAAGACAACCTGGTAAATTTGGTAGTACTGAAACTTTAACCAGCCAAAGTAATCAATCCTCGGTAAGCAGTATGAACGATAGAAAATCTCGGACTAAATCAAACAGCCCGGAACTTTTGGAGGAATCCAAAATCCCACAGTTTTCACGAATACGTGATAACACCGTTGAATCGTCTTCTTTCGAATATGAAAGAAAAAATAATTCGAATAATTTTGAAAAATATCCTCGACATTCCGTAAGACGCAATGATAAAATTGCAAATTCAACAAACGAAGTAGAAATGGAAAGCGACGGTTTGAAACTATTAAATCTATTCGAATCGGAAATAGAAAATCGCAAAGTAATTGGCAATTGGTCACGAAACCAAAATTCATCGAAGGATGAAAGAATGCGTTGGTCAACGGGTTACAAACTCGATTGGAATTACGAAGATTTTTGTCAATCAATGCCAAATCTTTCCAATCGAGATGACAGATTATTATCAAACATTGCACGAATCTCGGTTAACGGTACTAAAATGGATTTGAACAATTCCATCAATTTTTCTGATACTACGAGAACCATTATAAACGATGATAATAAAAAGTATTATGCTTCTTGCGTACAATTGAGTTTACCTGATGAAAATAAATTCTATAAAAGTGAATCAAAAAGAAGAATTCCACCAGCACCGTTGGATCTACGAAATATTAATGAGCGATACGAAATGATGGAAAATTCTGATAGAAAGTATTTTCAAAATTATACAGTTGACGTAGCTTTGTTACGAGATTACGATCGACCAATAGAATGTCAATTAACAACCGTTGTTGAAGATACGAAACAATCCACGAATAATTTTGATAAAAATGAACAAGATTCAACTCATTCTAAATCAATCGAAAATAAGTTGACTTTAAATACAATTAACAAATCCATGAACGATCTTTCTTCTTCATCTTGTACTTCTGCTTATTGGAACGATTTGCAATCGCCCCAGCTTGTGAACAATTACAAGAATTCGATGATCGATCTACGTTCTAATGGAAACTGTTTTACGAACGATCTATCCCGATCTTCTTCACGGGTCACCGATCAGAAAGCTTCAGCTCCTAACTGCGAAACCACAACGAAGAGTTCACCTCCTTTAACAGATTCAGTCAGACCAATCGGTGGACCTCACTCAGGAACCGGAAACACGCTTCCCTCGGTCTACGGCCCGATTCCGTACAGTCAGTAAAACACACACGCACATACACTTGCACGAACAATGAGTAGAACTATCTATTTATCTATTTAACTATCTTGTATCTGATGTATCAATGCGTGTCAGTTTAATCCCGTTATAAACTCTACCTTTTTCTTTTTTTCTTCCTCCCTACGATAATTTATCAAACAAAAGTTTCTTTCAGAGAATACATTTGTTTTTTTTTTTTGGGTTTAAATAAAAAAAAAACTTATTTCGCGTATGAAAGTTTTTGATTCATGTTAAAACCATCGGTTTGAAATCTTTTATGCATGGGAAAACGTAAAGATGGGAGAACCCCTCCCCCAGCCAAGTACTTTCCAAGATCGTTCGGAAACTTTTGTAAAACTTATATTAGATAATACCTTATATATATGTGTGTGTATATGATTACTTAGGAACGTTCACACAAGTTTTCTTTCCATGTCGAAGAGAAAGAGTGAGTGTTGTTAACCCTCTAACAAATATATTATGTATATAATCGAATGCGCTTGCGCGAACAAAATTCCCCGGCAAAATTGGCCATCAGTGACGTTAGTTTTATCAGTCGCATCATCTCCGCGCATCTAAACGAACGTACTATAGTTTCATAATACTCGTAACAACTCATCATTTCGGACATATTTGTTTTTTCTTGTTTCTTTCGTGTCATCGAACTTGTCGTTCGCGTTGGTTTCATATCGATAAAAAAATAACGATTAAAAAAATCTTATTTAATTAATTGATATTTAGGTATTAACGCCATCTCAGCAAAATTCCACTAATGCGCTAATTTACACCTTCAATTGTTGCGACAAATCATAGAATAAAAAACTTGATTTAAAATCAAAACACTTTGAAAATTGAAAATTCATTTTATTTAGAAAAAGTAGTCAATCGGATTTCGATGGAAAATGAACCGATATAGAATTTAACATAGATTCAAAACAGTGTCTATTTTCTTTAACTTGATGCTGTCGCCATAACCCTGACGTAACCCTGACAAAACCCTGACGCAACCTGACGATACCCTGACAGTTGCTGTGTGCAAACAACAAGATTGCTCTTTATTGGCGCATTAGCGGAATTTTTGCTGCATTGGTGTTAATACGTAAATACCAATGAATTGTTTATAGATCATCGTTTAATTATTTGAATCTTCGATGAAAATATTTTTACGACCACTCGTCGTTGAATCGAATTTAAAAAGTAATTCGATCAATTATTTTCTAATTAAAATTTAGGTTATTATTTTTCTTTTTTTTTGTTTTTTTTTTTCTTTATGATAGATGATATTACAATACGAATGTTTGAATTCATAGAAATAAATTATTGATTGGTATTATAAAGATACTTTTGAAAATGATTATCTTGTCATCGTCTAATATATAATACTTAGAATGTGTTGACAGACGTTTAAATATTCATTTGAGGTATTTGCCTTATTGAGTTTCACGCCTTTCTCACGACATAACGAAGCCATATGTTTCCGAGTTAACTGCTTTAACGAGTTACGACCTTTAAGTAGGTCATTCTGTTCTTATCTTGTTTTTTTTTTTTTTTTCAATTCAATTTTGTACATTTTTTCTTCAAAATTCTTTCAATTAGTCTCTCGTTCGTGTAAAATCAAAGTACCATTTGCAATCATACATATACTACAAAGTCATTTACTTTAGTAACCAAAGAAATAAACTGAGAGTATAAAATTTGTTAAAAAAGAAAACTGTAAAACCTTTAGATTTTCATTGACAAATCTTATGACAATAGAATCACCAAGACGTTATGTGGAGGGTGAGGTGACGATTCATTATCGTTCACCAGTACGTACAGAAGCCAAAGAGCAATTGAGCGAGGAGGAACTCGCTAGACGTAGCGCGGAAAACATGCGACGTGTTTATCAAGAGGAAAGACGTAGAAAATATCTTCAGGAATTACACGATATCGATTCTAGAAGACACACTGACAATTTCATGTAAGTTTACAAAAAGTTCATTCAACTTATTTTATAATTAACCTTTGGATCCAAGGGTGTATTAAAAAGGTGGGACACTTTTAATCCCACCATGCCCTAAAGAGTTAACAGCATACACATGTTATATATATACTTGAATTATATATACGAAACCATATATAAATCAATCGTAATTACGTTATTGTAGACCGTCACAAAAATCACCGATTCCATTGAATCGTTACGACGATTTTGTGGACGATCTTAGTCACAGAAGCAGATCGCAAGAACAAACACCTGAGCCACGATTATTAGCAAGGGCACTTTACAATTTTGTTGGACAATCATCTCGCGAATTATCGTTTCGTCGTAACGATATAATCTTTGTCAGACGTCAGGTGGATAAAAATTGGTACGAGGGTGAACACAATGCTATGGTCGGTCTATTTCCCTTCAATTACGTCGAGGTATTGTAATTTCGTGACAATGTATAATTATGTAACACTGATCGATAAAAAGATTGAAAAAAAAACAAAACGAAACGTTTGTTAATCCTAACAACAGATTTTACCTTACGATGGTATGAGAACAACACCGAAGAAACCGTACGAAGGACAGGCTCGTGCAAAGTTCAATTTCGTGGCTCAAACCAATCTGGAATTATCATTGGCCAAGGGTAAACTCATAAAATCGATTATATTTCTCTCTCTACTGTACAAGAGAAAATCTATTATCCGATATTGTTGTTTATCCTTTTAAAATAACCACAACATTTTAATTATTTTTTCATTTAGGAGAACTTGTTGTATTGACAAGAAGAGTTGACGAAAATTGGTACGAAGGTCGTATTGGTAATAGAAAAGGAATATTTCCTATTTCATACGTCGAAGTAATCACCGAACCTGGAGTAAGATCAGGTACAAATATTGATTAATTAATTCAATGAAGTGGTATTACGAGTGTCAAAGTGTAATTGTATGTAATTGATGATTACAAAACTGAACATTATCTTCTAATACAATTTTGTTTTAGAAACTCCAGTACAAAGCAAACCAATCGCCTCTCCAGCAGCTCATAGTCTTTTAGCCAATGGCTCAGCTGGTGGGAAGATGAGTATGGGTCCTCATCATTACGTCCCGTCAATACCAGTTAACATGAACACAACTCAGCCTCACTATAATTCACTGGTAAGTTCAAAGTTCGAACGAATATTTAATCATTTTTAATCATCTCATATAATTCAATGAACATATTTTTAATTAAAGCCACGAATGGGGGGAAGCAAGCTGCAGGTATCCCATATCAACGATCAATTACACATAGACACACACTCCGAACCAATACCGTAAGTCTTCTTCTTTTTTTTTTCTTTAATCAAATTTAACCCTTTGCTAAACAAAGTAGCACAATTTTCACGTGTATCGCGTATTCTTTTGATTTGTTAGATTGGTCTTTTCAAAAAAAAAAAAAAAAAAAAAAAAAAAAAAAAAAAAAAGAAAAAAAAGAAAAAAAACCAATTCGTATGTAACAATGTTGCATTAGAATTTGTTGAAGTTCGTAAAGGGTTAAATGTAAAATTGAAAAGATGAGATAAAATAGATCAATTTACATTTGATACATTTAATTTATCAGATATCGAGCACTGTATAATTATAGACCACAAAACGAGGACGAATTGGAATTGAAAGAAGGTGACACGGTGTTCGTAATGGAAAAATGTGACGATGGGTGGTACGTTGGTTCCAGCCAAAGAACTGGCTATTTTGGCACCTTCCCAGGCAACTACGTCGAAAGATTATGAATTTGAATTACGAGAGAGAAAACATTGACAGTTTCTAATAACCAAAGAATACCTGGCTATTGTGTTGTATTAAAACAATGATTCTTGTTTCTTTCTTTTTTTTTCTCTTTTTTTTCTTATTCGTTCCTCTACCCGTTGATTTTCAAATTTTTTCTGGGCTCGCAATGAGTGTGACAACAACAACAACAACAACAACAACAAAATGGAAAGATAAATTAGAAACGAAACAACAAGTCTTCCTAATTCCCATTCGTTTTAACGTTGTACATAAAATAGTGTTCTTCCTATTGAAAATTGTTAGTAAAAAAATTTTAACGCGAGTCGATGGTATGGGAGGAGTGGAGAGGGGGAGGAAGGGAGGGAGCGAGGGGGGGGGCAATAAATTTTTCAAGAGTTTAGATATTTATATTATATATATATCAAAGCCGTAACAATCACGCATACCTATAGGATTTGTAATGTCCGAATTTTACCAAAAATCTAATATCTTAGGGCCTATTTAAAAAAAAAAAAAGAAAAAAAAAGGAAAAAAGAACAAAAAAAAAAATAAGGGCATAATGTGTAAGTAGTGTATAATATATAATTAATAACAATTGAATAATTTATTATATATTAAATGAGATACATTAATGTTATATTTAAATATATAATTTTTTTTGTTTTTTTTTTGTTTAACGAGTAAAACAAGAAAAATACGAATGAAAGAATGTCACTTTCGTTTTTAATTTTCTATGATAGACAAAAGTTGTTGGTTTTTTTTTTATTTATAAACTGACAAAAGATAGAATATAGAAACTTACGAAAGTGTAAATTTATCTTTTGAATTATTTGTATTTTTTTTTTTTTTTTTTGTTTTGTTGAAACGAACTATCCGAAAAACGAAGAGAGTTTCCGTCGAGCCTATTAATTACGTAGTATAACGAAAATACACGCAAGTATCAATAAAATAAAAATAATAAATAAAAACTTGCGTAAATATCGAATATTTCGAATATAATATATATATATTTAATATATATATAATTATTAAAAAAAAACATTCAAACGAAATTTGAAATATAAACGAACGAAACACCGAGTTCATTTTCCACGATGACGATATGTGGGAAGAAAACAAAAATTCATAATTAACGAACGATGATTATTAAAGTTGATGTGTTTAAAGAAAGAAAAAATGAAAAAAAAAAAAAAATGTAAAAAATATTGGATTGTTCGTAAAGTAATTTCGTTTTTTTTTTTTGTCCCCTGACACAATTTTCTGCATGAATTGATGCAAAATGGCAAAATACCAAAACGATAAATCGATGAGAGATTAAATTGATCAAATTCAATTGTTTATACCCATTAGAAAGGCCCAAGTTTAATATCCTCGAAGTAAAAAATTGTCTTCTTCATTTTTACAAAAGAATAAACGAAATTACTTTTCTGATCCAATCCAATGGAAAAAGAAGGAAGACAACAAAAAAAAAAAGTAAGAACAAAAGTTACCCAATAATTTCAAGTTTATAGATGATTAATATAAAATGAGAAACGATTCACGTTATTATTGTTAAATTTTGCAAGTAATTTAAAAAAACAAATAACAAGCTTATCATTGAAAGTTTGCCTTTTCCCAAAATTAATATTTTTGTAAACATTATTTATACTTAGGATATATTATGTGTATATAATAATTATATACTATACAAGCCACGTACACAAGTTTACGATACGTTCAAGATATGATATATCAAATATATATATATGTTATATAAGTAAAAAATTGAGTATATACACACACACATACACACACACACACGTTACATTATTATAATAAAATTCATAAATAAGAACGCGCTCAGATATATACAAACACACATATACATATTATACAGACACATTGATACTTTAAAAAAAATAATAACACGATGATTAACCCGTTTGACTGCTAAAAGCGTATATATACGCTCTCACAAATCTATCAATATATACGAAAAGCGTATATATAT